CTGCACACGTTGACAAGGCCACAAGCCGGGAACACATCCAAGTTACACCACACCAGTGACTGCTTAGCAATAAAGACACAAGGATCCCAACTTTAACATATGTGCAAGGATATGCCCTACTTCTATTATCTTATTCTTTTATTTATTTATTTATTTTTGGTTATGGCTCTTAGTAGTAGATACATCTGCACTTAATTACATTCTCATTAGCAGTGGTGAAGGATCTAACATTTGATGTGTTTTGTATATCACAGTCATAAACAAAACACCTCAAATCACCTCTAATCTATAAGCAACACAATAACAAAAATGATGTCACAAAAGATTTAGAGCGTAAAGGTATTACAGGTCATTTACTTTGAGATAACAGCATATCTTCTGAGTTTTGAACATCGGTTGGTATAGAAAGCAACAGTCAGAATGTTTTATTTTGTTAATGAAACTTAATGTTTTGTCTTGGTACTTTTAGTGAGAAATGGCTTTAGAACATTTTATGTCTGCTGTGTGAACAACAGCTACCTGTATTGAAGTATCTACAGAGATATCACTGACAAATGTCAAGCTTACCACCTGTTAGCAGCACTGTGCAGTCATGCGATTGTATATTTCCAAAATATAATAAATAAGTAAATATAATGTACAACTCACAATTTTTTTTTTTTTTTTAAAGAGATCAAAAATCAAAGCAGCAGAGGATGAGATAGCCTGACTTTCAGTCCCTAGTATGTGTCAAGCTCCAAAAACACTGGATCCTACTCTTCCCATTGTGCAACTGGAAGGTGTCATTCATTAGACCTCCCCTTCCTCTTAAATGCCCACTTCTGTCAATCCTCACACTTTGAATTTGTAACGCAGGCTTTCTCTTAAAAGTTAAGTGTTAAGTCTAAAGCCCAAGCATGACATCTTTTTTTTTTATTATGTAAAGCTCCTCGCAAAGCTACAGAAAACATTTTTCACAAGTTGAGAAGAACTCCTCCCAACGAGTAATCTTAACTAATAATAAAATGTAAATGTAAAATAGATTGATTGCCCCTTTAAAACGAAATTTCCTTAATGGCCAAATACCCTTGGTTTTCCCGGGAAAAGAGTGATATTCTCTCCAGAAAGTAATAATTTCAGTCAAGCTAGCAGTAAAAACTGTGGCGAGCTGAAGTTTGTGATGCGGCAGCAACAATGATGGCTGAGCCGATATTCAGTTGGGTCTTGGGGAAACAAACAAAACCAAGTGCGTAGAGCTTAGTGGGTAATTTACGGGGAATGGGAGATTACACAGCCAGACTCTGTGCCTGTATCAGAAAGTGAGATTAGAGTGGGAGGCACGTATCTCTGGCTAAAGTCAGTCTGTCCATCAACATGTTTTCAACTACTGTGGGTTTAAAGCAAGTTTTCAAACCATATTTATGAATAATTTACATTAGCACAGTAATTGTGCCGACATTCTGATACTGATTGGTTCAACAATTTGTGTAATTTTCTAAAACTGACAATCTGACATTCCACTTCACGCTCTGATTGGCCAGCTGTGCACAGCACGTTTTGAACATCTCTCTCAAGATCTCTTTTTTTTATGATTTATACTCATCACGCCTTCAAGTGTGGACATTACTGCCGTTGGTCAGCAACACTTCATATAAAAACAATGTTGCAATTAGAAATACATTCCTGTGAAGTGAAAGCATTGTAGCACTTAAATTTGGGATTGTTAAAATAATAATTAGCTTTTTACTTATGTATTTGTACCACTTGAAGGTTTTAAAATGTGTCATGGTAGTATATTATTTTGATAAGCTAAACACTTCAGGTGGTGTTATTTTATGTGTACACTGATGAAGTTGAGGTAGCTGACCAATATTGTATAAATTATTTTATGTGGAGGTAGATTTTAATTATTGTTTGAAGGCACAGCTTTTAGTGACTGTTGGATGTCTTAAGTTACGATATCCATCATATGACTTTGCTATAGACACAAACTAGTAGAACTGTTGTGCTTTACAGTTACATTGAAGTTACCAACCTACCTGTGTAAGAATAATCTACAGCACATAGTTGTGAGAGTGGGAAAGGAGGCATGGCAGTTGAAATTAGATGTCCCAAATGTCGTATTATTTTGAGTTGTATTTCCTGTTTACACAGGTCAGTTGGGGCCAATCCTGGATGTATAACAATAGCCTTTTTGCATTTTTTGCGGTTTTTAAAATTGTATTCTATTGGCAGTGAGCATTCTGCGCGCCCTGTGCTCCTCGCGTTTTGGGCGCCTGCTGCACCTTGCATTCTCAAAGGAGCACTCTGAGCGCACAGAGTTGAAAAAATTCAACTCTGGGCAGAAAACGCCCAACGTCATTCACGTTTTTTCCATTGTCCAATTGAATGAATGGACAGACAGGCCCTCAGTTGTGGTGACGGAAGTTTACAGTTGCTTGGATTGTCCGGAGACTGCAACAAACTGTCCCCGAGTCATCCTAAAATAAGCCTTGAACCAACCATCATTAAGGCGCAGCTACTGGACCAACTGGTGTTACTACCAGCATTGTCTCCTCTTTCTGAGGCTCTCATGTACCCACACGGGTCTCTGTTTCCCTGTCTCCTGCGTGTTTGTACACCTCTCACCCTCAAACAATCCCAGAGCAGGCACCCTCCGTTTGTCTATTTTGTTTGTCTGTTTTTAGCAACAAAAGACACAGACCTGTGATCTGTGATCAAATTTCTGCTAATATGACATTACTTAGTTATTACTTAGAGGCAAACCAAAGATTACAGATCGCTGGCATTATAATCTTTGATTAGACTGACAGGACAGCTGATTTGGTGGTTGCCTAGCAACATGAAAAAAAATGCAGCGCACTGCTCTTTTCCAAATTCAACCAAAAAAGGCTTTTCTGTGCGACGGGCATTTTCGAACCTGCAAAGCGCTTTCTGTCTGATCAGGATCTAACATGCTGAGAAAACTGTTTAGAAATGAAGGCCTTCCAGAGTCCATTCAAAAAGAGTATGTGAGTGCTGTGGTGGAGACTCCTACAGCTCAAAGCACATGTCAGTGGCCTTTAAATAGACCACCATGATTGAAGTGCAGTGAAATGTGATGGGTGATGCAAGGATTTGTCAAGTGACAAAATGCGACCTAAGTCTGGACACTCAGATCAGAATTGATGCGACGTTGACGTCACTCTAGAGCAGATGTTGTCACAGTTCTGCTGTAGACAGAGCCGCAGTGAACGAAAAAGCACCACATAAAGCCATCAGTAAACATGCGGCTCTCTACCTTGCTCACAAATTCCCTTCCTTACACCTAAAATCCACCGGGCCGCGAGCTTTCTTCTGAGTTATGTGCATGCTACTTGTCCGTGCGGACACAGTGGAGAGAGAGACAGAGAGAGGGATGGAGTTGTGGGGCAGTCGCGTTACAGCGCCAGAAACCGTAATGAAAAGAACAGAAAGTTGTGAGCACTTGTTATAATTCGGGAGAAATGTGACCTGTGAGAGGACAATGAAAAATGGGAGTCTCCCATGAAAATTGGGAGGGTTAGCAAGCAGGCACTAACCTGGGCTAACCTGAGCTAAACTCTGTGGCTCCTTGTTTACTTCTGTATAACAGCATGCTGCTGCGTGTGACGTCGTGTTGTTCTTCTTTGCATGCACGTCACTTTCAGGCTGTGGACAGTTCACACTGGAGTCTGATGTGAGCCACATTTAAGCAATAATGTGAGCTGTCAAACAAAAAAACTGGATCTGGAAAACAAATTAAGCACGTAGCCTGTCTGAACTGCATCACTTCTGGATTCACATGCTCAGCCAACCGATTTCCTGACATGGAGAGGAGAGCAGTAACCACAGGCTTTGCTTACCTTGGTCATGTACTGTATGTTGGAGTTTGCACTTTGCCCAACATGAAATTGGCACGAGAAGTTCTTAGCCTACCAGTACACATTTGTGAAAGTCATCTGTTGATTGTTGAATGAATGCTAAATTAAGATGATGAATGGTAAACATGTCTGTATTAAAAGAGCCGGATTCTTTGCCTCCTCTCAGCCTTGCTGCATTTTTTAGACAAGAGAGTTGGGCGATAGATAAGTCCTGTTTCGGGTGCTTGTAATAAATCCATGGGTAAACATACCAGCTAAACATCAGTATGTTAAACATGTTGGCATGCTAACAGTACACATGTGTGTAGCTCATCTGTTGATTAAACTAGAGTGGCAAAAAAAAATTATTCAAAAAATACTAACGTGTATCTAGACCAACTTCTATCAATGGTTAAAAACCAGCTACTGGAATCTAATGTAAAGCCTAATGGATCGCTCATGTCTGCTGTCTGTACAGTTGTAGGGGTGCGTACGTGTTAAGCTGATCTACAGTAAGGGAATATTGTCCAAAAATACAATAACGCCAAGGTCCATGCTGCCACTTCCAGTGTCTACCATTTGATAGTCTATTACCTATTCGACCATTATACCAAGATCGCACAGACACACACACTGAAAGAGAGAGGCAGGGGCAGTGAGTGCGTCGCTCTCAAATGACTGTGAATAGTAAGTAAATGTAGGTAAGTACGTAGCTGGGGGTCGAGACCGCTCTGCTGATGGAGGATCGTAGTGAGATGATGTGGTGGCATTCATACCGTAAATTAGAACATTTTCTAATTTCCTCTGCAGCAGTGAAACACCACACACTACCCTAACACTGTTAGGCAGCAACCTGAGCATCCAGCCCATATCACAGCAATGTAGCCGAACTGAACGTGCCACACACACGTTTTTCCGACGCCTGGTAGCGATGTGCAGGTAAAAACAAAAGGAAAATGTATTATTTAAGACAAGACGATAGTCACATGAACTATTCACTTCCTTATAATTCAATGACCAATTGAAAACTATGACCCATCTCCGGCGGTGTCATCTTTTCTGTCCTTGGTTGGCTGAGCATGAGTAATGTAAATATTTATGTTTTAGATGAGGCACTGCCTAGATCTAGGTCGCAATGTGTAACCACCATTCCAAATAGCAACCACAGCGCACTTGCAGCATTAGATAATTGATAACTGTCTCTTCCGTGGGACTTTGTCTGGTTCATTTCTGAGTAGCATTGTGAATGCTCAGTTATCCCACGCCTGATATACTGATGCTGCCAGTGAACTAACCCTCTCTGATACCTCACCATTACTGCCTTTCTTCTTTACAGCTCTCATTTCTATCCCTCGATCTGAAAGACTTCTCTCTGAGTGAACCGTCTCACACGCCACCCTCGCACTCCTATTCACCTCTGCTGTGACAGTCAACTTGTTGTCGTTATGGACTCGATTTCTCAGCCCCAAGAGAAGGTGGTTGTGATTTCCAGTGGCATCTCTGAACTCAGTACCTCCACAAGGTGCTGCCATAGACCTTTCCTTCCTGCCCAACCTGGCTAACCTCCTCCACAGCTGGCACTGCCTGAGGCAGCAGAAGGGCCTAGACTTGCACACCGCCTGGAAGCCCCTCTTAAAATTCTCATTGTAGTAGCCGTAGATGATGGGGTTGATGCTGGAGTTCGAGAAAGCCAGCCAGTGGGCAAAGGGGAAGATGTAGCTAGTCAGAAGGTCCAGCTGGTCCCTGTCCAAGCCTGCATAGTCTGTCATCATCATGAGGGTCCAGAGTGGCAACCAGGACAGCATGAAAAGCAAAGCCACCAAGATGAGCATCTTAATCACCTTGATCTTTTTCTGGGATATCATTGGCTGACCAGCCCTTCTACCTCCAACCTGGACTGTTGCGTTGGCCAGCTGTGGCTCTCTGTTTCTAACCACAGAGGAACACAGTTTGACCCCGATGCTTCCATACATCAGTGTGATGACGGTCAGGGGCACCAGGTAGATGTGAGCAAACAGAACCGCAGTGTAGACCTTTCTCATCTGAGGGTTGGCAAAGTTTTCGTAGCAGGTGTACAGGGGGAATGTGTGGTTAAAGTCATCGTCGCACACCATGTAGTGGAAAGGTACTTTCTCCACAGTCAGTGCCATAGCAGCAGGACACATAATCACCACTGCTAGCACCCAGATTAACAGGATGGCTGCCTTGGCAACAAGTACAGTCGGCTTGGGTTGTAGAGGGTACACTATGCAGCGAAACCTGTAGTAGATAAGTAAGGAAGAGCATTGCCACTAATTACCTATACGAGTAGACATAAACACCAACCATGAGCAAAAGAATTTAGATTATAACTAGAGCCTTAACTAAGGATAATCAATACACATTACTAATTAATCTTCCACTTATTTTTTACCTTAATTCGGTCTTTAAATCATGATGAATTCCCATCTCAAATTAACATACTCATAACATATTAACATAATTTTCAATTTTCTTTGGCCAGTAATCAAAAGGGTTCAAAGTAAAGGAACCAAATACTTTATATGTAACAAGCTATAAACCCCAAATGTTTGGTTTGAGTCATGTTAGCTGTGTGGCAATGTTGGCCTGAAATCTCTCAGCAACCATCTGATGCATTGACATGACATTTTGTACTGACATTCATGGTCCCCAGAGGATGAATTCTACTGACTTTGGTGATCTCTTGACTTTTCTTTAGAGTGACCATGTTTGATGGATGGCCATTTGGTACAGATCCATGGTCCCATGGAGAAACACTAATGTGCATGTGCAGTGAGCCTCAAAATTAAGAAGCCAGCCTAGAAGCTGGAAAGCATTTTTGGCTTATGTGCTTAGTGCATTTTTTAGTCAAGAGAGTTGGGTGCCAGATAAGTCCGGTATCCAGTGCTTGTAATACATCCAAAGGTAAACATACCAGCTAATCATCAGTATGTTAATCATTTTGCCATGCTGATAGCATTAAGCTCAGAGCACCACTGTGCCTAAATATAGCTTCACAGAGCTGCTAGCATGGCTTAGACTCTTATTCTTGCTACTTTATGAATGACTCCAATGAGCAATCAAACTAGTCATCCATTACTTTTTTGTCAGTTGAATAATTTATTTATTGTGTCATAGTTTTTGCACTAATTTTAACTGATTAGGTATCACACCTCAGGATATACTAACCTTTCAACAGCAATGGCCACCAGGGTAAAGACTGAAGCGGAAACAGACACCCCCTGCACAAATCCGCTCATCTTGCACACGGTGTTGGAAAAGGGCCAACCTGTTGAAAAAATTACACGCTCATTAGCGTAGTGTAGCTGGTGCTCGGAACTCAGTGAAAACAGTGACATAATTGTCACTGAGGATTTTTAGAAATCCTTAACAGTAGTTTATAATTAAGGCAGTTCAAGATATTGGACAGGGTTAGACTTAAAAATGGGTGAAATTAAGATTACATTAGGGTTTAGAATTAGATTGTGAAGTGGCACTTTACACCTTGCTTCCTTTTCCCCACATGTTCATTGTTGTATCATTCCTGCCACAGCTGAAATTGATGCTTCATGGAGATGGAACACCCCTGACACAATGAGTATATCTAATTCATTTTCAGGCAAATTGCTTGAATAACACATTATGGGACAGTAGCAGAGGAGCAGCACAGAGAGAAACACTGACAGCAGTAAACATTGACCTCAAGGTGGTGGTTGCAGTGCAACAAGCAAACATCTTTTTATCAAAAAATACAGTCCCTTCTTAGTTCCACCATACGTTATTATCCAGATAAAGCCTGATGTATTGACTATCTCAAGATCATTACTGATTACAACAGCAATCTAAAAACTGTTTAAAAGTTAAAAACAAGTCTACAAGAAACTGGACAGATGAATAAAACACTGTCCAGTAAAAAAAGTAAAAAAAAAAACAATGTGTACACATTTGTCAAAAGTCAGAACACATGATGGCACTTTATCTCAAGAAGAACAAAGTAGAAGTAAAGTAATGCTGACAAAGCCAAAAAACATAGGAAATATTGCCATTTAACACACTTGAAACATTTCATACTTTTCTTTAAATCCTGCAGTTAACTACTGAAATTGTAGATTTTTATATATATATAAAAATTGTCTTCTGTCAAACAAACAGTTATGTTAGATACTAGGTTCATATTGCTCTTTACTGCTACAATAAATACCAAGCCAACATTTTATAGAAACAGTCTGAGTCCTTGCAGGAGAGAAGGCTGGATTTCGAAAGACTTGTTCAAGATGAGACCTCGTTGTTTTTAGCAATTCATTGAAGGAAAAAATAAATATGGCTTTTGTTAATTATCCTGTAAACCAGGCTTCTGACCAGAACTTCCCTGCTTTGTTGCAGTGTGTACCTCAGTGGTCTGGGAGGTTGCTAAGGTCTTCTCACTTCTCAGGACCCGCTAATTAGGGGTCCAAGCCCGAGTGGGCTGGGAACCCGCGAATGCAAGGCATTGCGGTTCCCAGTACCAGCGGAGCTGGGAACCCTATTGTTTTTGTTCTAGTATTTTTTATTTTTTTATTCTTCCTTGCATAAAACTCATACTGCGGCCTAGACGGTAACTGCTAGGGACGCAAAACTCCTAGGGTAGGTCCAGTTCACTGCACGTAACTCAGGCGCAAAAATCCACACACACTTCTACCTCAGGGGGCGCTATAAGCAAGGTCAACGCGTTTGGCCTACGAAGGTGAATATCAAAAACCTTACATCCACGCGTTCGGGGGATCGAGCTGAATCTCGTGGTATAGGCCCCGCCCATTTCCGAGTAGACCTTTTTTTCGCTACATCTCAAAAACTGAAAAACCTATTTTAATTAACTCCTCCGAAGACGCAAGTCCGATCGACACCAAACTTGGCACGGATAATCTCTGGAACAAGCTGATGAAAGTTTGTAGAGGAAATTTTGATCCAACAAAAAATGTCGCAATTATGTGCTAGCAAATGTTTGCGAAAAACGCTACTAACAGGACATGATGTCATATCTTTGCTTTGGAATGGCCGATCGACACCAAACTACACGCCCATACATCGCATGTTCATAAACCTTATGTCTACGTGTTTCGGGGATGCTGCCGATGGTATAGGACACGCCTCTGTGCGACGACGTTTTCGTTTCGCTAAATCACAAAAACTGTAAAACCTATTTTAATTAACTCCTCCGAAGCTGCAAGTCCGATTGACACGAAACTTGGCACGGACCATCTCTGGACCAAGCCAAAGAAAGTTTGTAGAGGGAATCTTGATCCGACAAAAAATGTCCCAATTACAAGCTAACAAATATTTGCGAAAATGCTAAAAACAGGAACTATAACATATCTCTGGTTTGGAAAGGCCGATCAACACAAAACTTGACGACCTTATGTGACATGCCCCCCTGAAGGGCTGTGCAAAATTTAGTACAGTTAGCCCCTAGCTGGCACTATTGAAAAAAAATCCCATCGACTTACATGCATTTTATATCTCCACAACCACAACTCCGATTAATACCAAATTTGGGTCAACGGTTCCATGGGGCCCTGATCACACCTGAAAATGTTGGTGCAATTTGGCTAAAAGGTGGTGCTATAATCGAAGCTCAAATACCGTCAGACAATCCCATTCATTTCAATGGGATTTTCAACCAAAGGACATTTTGTCTTATAACTACGCGCCACTACATGGCACATTCATAAACCTTATGTTTACGTGTTTGGGGGAATGCTGCCGATTCCTATGGTATAGCACACGCCTCTGTGCGATGACGTTTTCATTTTGCTAAATCGCGAAAAATGGAAAACCTATAATTAATTAACTCCTCCGAAGACAAATCCGATCGGCACAAAACTTGGCACGGACCATCTCCGGACCAAGCCGATAAGTTTGTAGAGGGAATTTTGATCCACCAAAAAACAGCCGAATTATATGCTAATACATTTTTGCGCAAACGCTAAAAACAGGGTGTCATGTGAGATCTTACCTTTTCAATGGCCAATCTACACCAAACTCGGGGAACTTATCTGGCACGCCCTCCCGAGGGGCTGTGTCAAATGTGGCGTCAATCGGCCTCTAGGTGGCGCTATTAATTGGAAATCAAATAACACTCCCATTAGACATACATTTTATATCTCCATAACGGCAAGCCCCTTTCATTTATAACTCTGGTCGTTTATTCTCCACGGGCCTCCCGAGCCCAGCGGGGCGCCCGGGCCGACTCGCGGGGCGCAGTGGGGCCAGGGGGAACCCCACTTACAACTGCGCCGGGAACCCCACTTACAACTGCTTGCAGTTCTAGTCGGAATTTATAATTACATTCTCTGTAACGTCTGGCACAATGCAATTCATATCTAACTTGCTTAATGTGCTTAAAAGGGCATACTTTATCCTTTTTTAATTTTTAGGGATCCAAGCAGGAAAGCCCTATTGTTTTTGTTCTCATTAGTCTTTCTTTCTTGCTGCTAAACTGTTCAGTAAGAACTTCCGGATTAAAACTCACCAAAATTGGCAGGTGGCTTGTAAATTCCAGCCAAATACCTCGTAATTAAATTCGCTGCATGGATTCGTACAAAATTTGGTTTGTACGATTTAGGGTCGCTACTCAGTTGATCCATAACATTCGGTAATGACTGCTCAACGTGGCCGTGGCTTATTACGACAAATGTAAACTGCTAGACATTTCTCATTCCAAACGTCTGTGAAAATCACCCGGTCATCCTAGAGAGCTGAATTTTTTTTTAGCACATCCACTCATATGTGACAAACTTTTGCCTCACTTCAAACTATGGTCAACTCAGAAGTCAGTCATTCTATATTTTTCAAAATATGCTAAATCAATCTCCACCAAAATCGACACAGCAGATGTCAAGTATTTTAAAGGGTTTTCAGATTGGTCAAGAGACATTAAAAAACACCCAAAACCAGCAGAATTATGTGTGACAACAATTTACTCTGCAGGCCACGCCAGCCTGTCAAGCCTGTGCTTCTACCTGCCTGCCCTGCCCAAACCAAGCCCTTACATTCTGTGTTTTCCAATAAATCTGTTCAAAGATCTCCGCCTGTTCCGGCTAGTGCTGCTGTGGCTAGCCACCTGCCAGAACTGCCCTCACCCTGTCAATGGGGAGTCCATGTGACAGCCCCACCTACTCCAGTCCAGTCACTGGCTACCAGTGCCCAGCTGCCCAGTTGCCTGTCACCTGTGCTGCTATTCTGGTGTCGGACTTCAGCCCAGCTGCCCTGTCACCAGCCCAGCAGTCTTGTCTCTGATTTAAGATTGTTTTTTAATGATATCTATCAAACAAAACAAACACATTGATTCCCCAGAAAGAACCATGATTTAGAATAATAAACACAAACAGATATTTTTTTGCAAAAGAACACCTCAGATATGTTGTACAGTTTGATTGGGAATCATATTTAATAGTATTGTAGTACTCGAGACCGGTCTTGGTCTTAAGATCACTTTTTGATGGTCTTTATTTCTTGTCTCGGTCTCGACCGCATTTGTACTCTGTCTTGTCTCGGTCTCGGGCATTGACCAGTCAGGGCCAGGGACAAAAGATCGCGAAGCGATTGGCCCGCTGCGGACTGTTGGTGATCAATCCCTCTGGCTGGATGAAGTCGGATGCTCCTGATTTTACGCATGGATCCATGATGATGGCGAAATATAGAAATTAATGGCAATAAAGCATGCTGTCAGTATTTTAGAAAAACATCTCAAATCATGCTTTTAGGGGATCTGATGTCTTATTTAGTGGAGCTAAGCTCCCCCTGGCTCCCCCGTAGTTGGCACCCTGAGAGATCTTACCATCAAATTAAAGCAGACCGGGGGGGGGCTTATGGTCTACAGGTCTAAAGGACTGACGGATTTAACTTTTGTATTCTCGGTTGACAAAAGTCTGGATGTCATTATTTCGCGTGTGCACCCTGGCGCGGCGGCATTGCAGGAGAGAGTGAGACGCGACAGTTGTGTCGATTCTCCTGCTATTAAAAAAGCTTGCTTTGTCATCACTGCAGCTGGACAAATTGATAATTAACTGCAGGCCAAAAAAGCCCTCTGGCCACAGGGAAAATCTCCCGGTGTGCCAGTCCGCTAGTTTAATCTCCACAATGTCTTCTTGTTTACAGTGTTGTCGGTAAAGACAATAGGCTTCATGAATGGACCAATGAGCAAACACTATGCGCAATTAGTACTCAAGGGAGTTGTAGTGTCGTAGTGTCACATGGCAATTTGTTATTTCAGATGCTTGTTAGCAAGACTACAATTTTTCAACAAAGCCA